CTGCCCTAAACTCTTGGCCTAAACCCTAAACCCTGCCTAGACCCTCAACCCTAAACCGTAAAGCCCAAACTAAACCCTAAACCCAAAAACTTAAACCGAAAACCCTAGCTGGCCGTCGTCGTCTGGGCGGTAGGCAGCCGGCCGATTCTCCGGCGCAAGGCTTTGTTACAAGGACCCTCAGGGGGTTCGGGGGCCTTACTGCCCACAAAAAAGGACTTGATAAGGCCTATTTTAGCAGGGAGGGGGGTATAGGGGCCTTAATACCCATAATAAGGATTGAATAAGGCCTATTTAAGGAAGTATAGTCCCCTACCCCCCACCCCCTACCCCTTTTCGGGTCCTTATGACTTTGCCAGAACGAAGGCTTCAGCATTGTCCTGGCCGGTCCTCTGGTGGGAGCGCGCCCAGACGCCCCAGACTCGCTCCGGCAAGTCACGACACTCCAAGCTGACGGTTGCTCTCGCACTTGGCGGAGATCATGCTTTGCTGTCAAACAGTCGGTTGCGCAAGGGACGGCAGGACACAGCGAGGAAGTACCTGAAAGTCGCGGGCCTGTGGTCGCGTCTTTCCGGGTGCTTGCCTTTTACGTGAATGGGCCCTGCGATGTCCACTGACATGCAGTACACGTCTGGGTGTGTTATTTTTTCTGGTGCCTCCTGCCAGTACCAGCTCCACGCACACACGCTCGGGCGTCATTCATTGAGCAGATCTCCGGCGTAATTTTCCTTCAACGCGATGACAAGCTGCGGGACGTAGTCGCTTTCTGGCCGTTGCGGTCCGCGCTCCGCCAGGTGTTTCCAGAAACACCAGAAGGGTAAGCCACTAGCGCAAGAAGTTGGGGACTGCGCCCAAACAGTAATAGTAACAGTCTATAAGAGGGCTACTACGGTTGATGATATAAATCTTGCATTAGCCATAATAAGGAATACCCCATAATTCCCATAGTTTACGGTCATTGAGGTAATGCAGGATTTATATCATCAACCGTATGATTGGCCTTAAGCAATGAAACATCAGGGCTTTGTGGGCTGAAGGCTTCAGACTCTTGATATGGTGGCCGTCATAATTTCAAGAGAAGGTAAAGCAAAGATGCTGGTGTATCTCCAGTACGGGACCCTGAAGCTTCTAGCTTACGACTAGTATTACTATTACTATTACTATTACTATTACTATTACTCTTACTATTACTATTACTATTAGGCTTATGACTTCGGGGTACGGTTTAGGGTTGAGCGTTACGGGTTAGGGCGCAATGCACCCCTCAATAACCCCCACCATTGAAGCTGAAAACTTGTGCGAGCCTTGCATATATAAGACCTACCGAAGCCGAAGATGATTGAGTAATCGAGCTCCGGAACCCTACAGCCGAAATCAAACACGAAGCCCTAAACCCAATAAAACTTTAAAGTCTTACAGCCCTAGACCCTACAGTTTAACAGAGTCATATGGCCACAAGAACTCAAAAGTCACTGTGAGCTGTCATGGTATAGAGCATATCGAACCCCTTATGCAGAACCCCACATAGAGCCTTAGCAGATCCGTTGATAACACTGGTTACAACCCTAAATCCTACAGTCCTAGAGGCACCAAAACACTAAGCCCTGGACCCTGAAAAAACCCGACCTTTGAAGCCCTGAAACTCCAAACCAGGGTCCCTTGACCATCTAGCCTTCACGCAGGGGCGTTGATATTCAGAATAAGGCTTCGGTGTATATGATACTAAAGTTTATAGTAAGGAAGCTAAGGCTTCGGTGTATATGATACTAAAGTTTATAGTAAGGAAGCTAAGGCTTCGGTGTATATGATACTAAAGTTTATAGTAAGGAAGCCAATAGAAAGCCCAAAGGAGCACTTACAAAGTCCTCCCTCGAAAACCCAATAGAGCCGCATAGACTGCTGAGACCAGAACGACCACAGCCAGGATGTGGTACTTCATTGCCTGGTCTTGTCTTTCTTTTAGGGGTTTCTCGCTTCTATAGGGTTCTACAAGGGTTCCGGGGCTTCGGGTTTAACGTTTAGGGCTAGGGGTAAGATTCTAGAGTTTCGCCTTCCCTAGTATGATCCCGACCTTTGTAAGGTTTCCAAACTAGAGCTTAGGGTGGTTTTGATTCCGTTCATGGTTTTTGTTCTGATGTTCATCTTTCTAGGGGGCAGAGAAGTCCCTGCCGAAACCCCGCTTGCTCAACACCCATGTGGCCTCGTATGCTCTACTCTCTTCGAATCAAGCTACTTCTTCAAGGCTCTACAGCTCTTGGGTTGAAGGCTGTATTTATCACCCTAAACCCTAAACCCTGAACCCTGAAAGGGCTCTAATGCTTTCGGGCTTCAGGGCAGTAAGGCTTCAGGGTTGTGCGGTCTACGACTTAGGAGTTCTGCGGATCCGGCGCTGAGGGTTCTCTCGTGGGAGCAAGCTTCCTTGGCGCGTAAGTGCTTACTTAAAGGATCATGGGACTTAGTAACTAGGGTTATAATTACGGTAACTATACTTCTAATTACTTCTACCCCCAATTAAGGTACTTATAACCTTACTTACTAAGTCCCATAATCCTCCAAGTAGGGTTTAGGGTCTAGGTGGAGGGGCTTAGGCGGCTCAAAATACTTCTGGGTTGGGGTGTAAGAGCTTTCCTAGGAAGTACAGTAGAAGCCAGAAAGTTGGAACATCATTGTCCCCATGCCCTTAAGGTAAAGTAGAAGGGATCCTAGCACTAATCCTCCGAAATCCATGTTCCAACTTTCTGGCTTCTACTATAAGGCTTGGGCCTGCTGGCTTCAAGGATCGCTCCTGGGATCTCTCTGATCTTCTGCGCAATAGAGGGGCTGTAATAGGTGCAGGGGACTTAGAAAGTAGGGTATAAGTAGAGTTATAAGTCCCCTAAATGAGTTACCCCAAGTATAACCCTACTTATAACCGATTTACTAAGTCCCCTGCCCCTCCAAGTATACTCTGATGTTAATAAAGAGCCCCAAAAAGCAATGTAGGTAATTGTTAAGGTCCCTATAGTACTGGGCCGCAGCAGTTCTCCTTCAATCAATGGAGGCTAGCTGATGCACACGCACGGAAATCTTAACCCCAAACCTGAAATCCCAAGTCCCCTGAACCCCAGCCCTGAACTAAACCTTAACCCTGACCTTAAACCTTGAACCCTAAACATTGGACTGTAAACCCTTACCTGAAACCTCAACCGAACCCTAAAGCTTGAACCCCTAACCCGAGAGTCTTGAACTCTTATACGAACCAGAACAGAACCCTTATGGAACCTCTATACTGACCATAACCCAGACCCCCGGGAGGATCTAGAAAGTAGACCCCCCCATTTGGGACCCTAACTACAAAAGGGTACTTTATAGGAACCCCGCTAAACGGATCCACTTTTTGGATCCTCCCGGGGGTCTGGGATACTAAACCCTAAACCCTAAACCCAAAACCCTAAACCCTACCTAGGTTGGCCCCTTAAAGCCTCTGAAAAATAGTAAATAGGGTCCTACTAAGCCCAATAAGGGACAATATAAAATGTCCCACAGGCCTACCTAGCTGCTGGCCTTGAAGGACCCCTCAACGATCCTTCACAGAAACCCTTCCAGGGCTCCTTTCAGGGTTCTCAACAATTTTCTAGAAGGGCACACGAAAAGGACCATAGAAACCATGGCCCTTTTTTTGTGCCATTCCCAGAGACCCCAAAATCCCTTAACTAAGGAATATGGCTTTAATTATATAGAGCTTCATTCTATGATTTAAGCTATATTCCTTAATTAAGGGGTATTGGGCTCTCTGGGTTTAAGAAGCCCCTTTAGAACCTCAGAAAATAGAACCGGTAAACCCTAAACCGCTCGAAGGTTCCTTTAAAGGACCCTTAAAGGAAGTCAAAGAGCACCTTCTGGGTTTAGGGTTTAGGGTTTAGGGTTCTGAGGGCTGATGATACCTTGACCCTGAGATCCTAAACCCTAAACCCAAAACCACTGAGATCCCGGCGCACTATGGCTCCGATATCCGCAAGAGCCACCCCCTATCTTGAGAGGCAGCTGCAAAGCCGCAGAGAAGTGTTAATTTAGGGCCTTTCTTTTTGAGGGTTTAGGGTTTAGGGCTGCAGAAAAAGGGGGTCATGGTGTGTTTCTTGGCTTTTTTGTAGAGGTTTTACAAATGGTGCTGTCTAAGGCTGTCACAAGTTATGGTGTCTTTACCAGCAGTTTTGCGACTGGGGGGCTGTGAAAGATCTTAGAGGTTGAGGGTTTACGGCTTAGAGGCTTAGCGGTAAGGGTTTACGGGTTTAGGCGTTTGGGTTTTGGGCTTGGGGCTTGGGGGTTTAAGGACTGGGTTTAGGGCAGGGCTTGGGCGGAGAGGAAAAGAGCTTGGGCTGCATGCGTCTCGCACCATTCTTTTCCATCAGCAGCACTTCCAGCAGTTATCGCTCTGAGGGCTGACATTTGGCATGAACATGCAAGCGAGATAAGACATTGGGAATATAGCTTAAATCATAATATGAAGTCCTATATAAAAGGGGTATTATCCCCCAGACCCTAAACCCTATAGATCCCCTAAAGGATCCCTTAAAGGATCCCTAGCCATATTCCTTAATTAAGGGGTATTGGGCTCCTGGGCATCTGCCACGTGGGACTCTGGAAGCCCACCTAGAGACTCCAATACCCCTTAATTAAGGAATATACCTTCAATTATAGTAGGATCCGTAATATGATTTAAGGAATATTCCTTAATTAAGGGATATTGGAGTCTCTGGGTGCATGTCCAGACCCCGGACCCTCGCTTTCACCAAATGCAGGAGCCTTAATCAATAGACTAGCGGGTTGGGGGTGTCTCTTACGTATAGACTAGGCGTAAAAATAAATATGTATATGTATATGTATGTATATATATATATATAGATATGTACATGTATATACATATGTATGTATGTATGTATCTTATCAATATTGATACTGAGGAACCTCAGGAATAATGCTGATGAAAATTCAGGCCCCAATTCCTGCCCGAAGGTGGGCTGCTTTCACTGAGGCGTTGGTGCCTCCGGAGTCGCTGGCGCCTCCGGCGCATCCTTCCGAATTTGGGGATTGAAGGCCTTGGGGTTTAGCGTTTAGGGTTTAAGGTAAACCCTAAACCCTAAACCCTAAATCCCTAAACCCTAAACCCTAGACCCTAAGTTTAGGGTTCAAGGTTTAGGGTTTAGGGGTTTGGGGTAGAGGGCTGAGGCTTTAGGGGTTGAGGGTTGAGGGATGTACAGATTAGGGCTACAGCACTACGGTTTACAGTTGAAGGGGTTGACAAGTTTAGGGGTTAGGGCGATAGGGTTTCGGGCTTAGGGCTTGCTGTTTCGGGTTTAATAGGGCTTCGGGTTTATACTGGGTTCTTGTTAAAGAACTGAATTTAAGTTACCATAATAGGGATCTATAGCAGTACTAAGGCTTATGATTATCACAACTTCAACTATGTAAATCCCTTAACAAGAACCCAGAAGGAACATTTTTACCCCAAACCCAAACCCAAAACCCAAAAGCCTAAAGCCTAAACCGCCTAAGCCCTAAACCCAAAAGCCCAAACCCTAAACTTCCTAAACCCTGAACCCCAGACCCGAAGGCCTAAACCTGCTGTTGATGACATAAATCCTGCCTTACCCATAATGAGGGATATGCTATCATTCCCATAGTTTAGGGTCTTTAAGGTAATGCAGGGTTTATATCCCTAAACCCTGAAACCCTATAGATTATGTGAAGGAGCCCCTTAAAGGTACCTCTATAGATCCCTTTCAAGGAACCCCAGGATGTATATCATCAACAGTAGGGAGTCTTCCTGGCTCAAGGCTTTCAGGGCTTCAAAGTCCTTGGCTTTCTGGTGCCGCTGCAGGAGAAAGACCGCGACGATGAGGTTGAAGAAGGCCAAGCCGAGCGTAACTTGGCTGTGCGTCCCACGAAAAGCATATTGGGTTGAGGGCTTTAGGGTTTTTTGGTCGTAGGGCTTTTAGGGATTTTAGGGTTTGAGGTTGAGGGTTGGGGGTTTAAGCTTTGGGGTTTGGGGTCCTAGGGTTTTGAGGCGTTTGAGGTTCCAGGGTTTACGAGCTGTGCTCCTCAAAAATGGGACAGGCCACAGGAGGGAGGGAGTCATCTGACAACATTGAAATACCCAGAGACTCCAAAACCCCTTAACTAAGGAACATACCTAAAATTGCAATTAGCAGGATCCCTAAATTGATTTAAGGAATATTACTTGCTGAAGGGATATTGGAGTCTCCGGGTAGAAGCAGGAAAATGTGAGAGCTGGATGCAGTCGTGCAGCTGAAGGAGGAAGCAGACGCAAAAAAAATACGAAAACTTAAAAAGCCATCCCAAACTAAGACCAAAGTACTCAACACAAGGCACTCAACACTAAGCACCAAAGTGCTCCACAAAAAGAACCTCCCAAAACTCAATGCCAAAGAACCCATACCCTTCCCGCAGCTGTAGCAGCCGGCGGGGGTCCCCAGAGCTGCCATCTCATGGAAGATCACAATTTTCTTGATCTCGGGGCCTAGTTCATTGCTGGGATAGTATTAAAAATGTACACTTTTATTCCTTATAGGGTTTAAGTACCCAAAAAAATTTAAAATGTTACCCAACTATGACAAAGGGGCAGTGGGTATCGAAAACGCCGCTGAAGTTGACGGATGCAATGGCCTAACAACAAGGGGGGCCTTAAGAATTCCACTCGGCTTTGGAGTATATAACACTGCTAGTATAACAAGGAACCCTGAGGAATAGCATTGGCAATCGTTTCAGGTTGTCAAGCGACTCTCCTCGACCGCGATCCTCCTCTACATAAAGTTGTAAGATCGGGGTCTTAACCCACAGAATAGCACATCTGTCTGGAAGGGGGTGTATTTCATAATATACAAGGAACCCGAAGGAATGATGTTGGTGATCTTCACCCCATATCGCTCACTCAGGTTGATTCGGGCCTCTGTTGGGGATCGAGCATGGCGACAGACATGAAACCCTCAGCGTCTCCTACAACGCTGGACCCTCAACTCTTAAACCCTGCATGAACCCATCATCCGCCCTAAACCTCAAAAACCCTAATCCCCAAACCCTCAACCCGGAACCTAAACCCTAAACCTGAAACCCGAAAGCCTAACCACCGAACTCCAAAGCCCATGGAGGATGCTCGCAGCACAGCAAGCGGCGGGTATGATGAGGTTGGCCACCCCTGCGATGGCCGTGGCCCCTGCACCGAGGAGGCCGATAGCCCGGATGCAACAGCAGACAAGGCCCACGAGCCTGGGCGTGCAATGTTTGGGGGGCATACGGCGCCTTTAAAAGGGTCTAGAAGGGTTCCTCTAAAGGGTTCTAGAAGGGTTTCGATAAGGGTTTGGTGTAGGGGCCTAAGTAATTCGACTGGGGTTTGGGGGCCCATGATAGTATAGTTTAGCAAGGATCCCTGTGGCATAGTATTGCTAATCGATTTGGCTTCTAAAATATCATACAATGACTCTGATCCGCAATCCTGACGAAAACGTTGCGAATTACTTATTCCCTAAACCCTTATAGACTCATATGAGGAACCCTGTGAGGATCCCTTCAAAATCAAAGTTGACAGCGCCAGGAGTCAGACTCACCAGCCCAAATGCCATGACGGCATTCCAGATGCCTTCGGCCTTTCCCATATTTTCCGTGAGAGCAAAGATATCGCAGGTCGGCGGGCTCTCCTCAATTCTTCAATTCAGCGTTTAGGATGTAGGGCTTAGGGTTTATCTATGCTGCGTTGTGGTTGGGAGGATTATGATTCATTGTAATTGCTGGTAATCTAAACATCCAAACCTCGAGCCTAAGCAGAAGCTCCCCTAAACCCCAAACCCTAAACCCACCTAAACTTAAACCCTAAACCAAGACAGTATTCCAAGGGCCAAGTCAGAAACCTCCATGCCCTAAACTTGCCTTATACCTTGGGTACGGCCCCCATACAGTAACAGTCTGCAATAGGGCTACTATTTAGGGCCTTATATATCTAGGTTATGAATATTAACCCTGTTACTGGGTGGGGGGCAGTACCAAACTTATACCTTTGAAAAGATGTTCCCATAGGAGTTTTGATTAGGGGGACTCTTGGGGATGTAGACCCTCTCAATAAGGTCCCTTTTTGAGAGAGCCAGCAGTAGGGTCAAGAAGGGTCCCGCTTAAGGGGTCTCCCAAATACTACCTACGATCCCCTGAAAATCTCATAAGCCTTAAAGCTTAAAGTCCCTAAACCCTAAACCCGAAAGTCACTAAACCCTAAACCCTAAAGTCCATAAATCCCTGCAATCCCTAAACCCCGAAGACGCTGAAGCCTAAACCCTACTACAATCGGGTTCCACTGAATGTCCCAGCTACTGTAAACCCCAAAGTCCGTAAAATCGGGTTCCCTGAATGTCCCAGCTTCTGTCACAATGTTCGTAGCCGACTGCTGCAAGAGGTGACGGTTTGGCCGCGTGCCCTCTGCCAAGTAGAGCCTCAGTCACTCCTCCTACACATATCAGTTAGGGTTTAAGGTTTGAGGTTTCGGGTTTAGGGTTTAGGGATTTAGGATTTAGGGTTTAGGGTTTAGGGCGGTTTAGGGTTTAGGGCTTATTAGGGTGTAGGGTTTGGGGTCATCATACACACATACGCTTACTTACATACACAACCCGATGCAATCAAGCTGGACAGCTTTCTGCTCACCTCCCAAGGAGCTGTGCCAACACAGCACCGAGCCACAGCATCATCCGGGCGGAGAGCGGCATCGAAACGCGTTCTGGAGACTGGAAGAAACGCTTTTACAGGCAACGCTAGAACTAAATGACCCAGCCGGCGAGGCTGCGAGAGGCAGGAACGTCTGATGAAGGTATAAGGGCGTAGGGCATTGGTTTAGGATTTGGAGTTGTTTTTCTGGCTAGCTTGGTTTGGTTTGGGAATTTCCAAGATCTTCGACTCTTCTCGTTCAGGCGGTGACAGAATGGAATATGGGAGCATTTCGCAGGGACGACATACACGCAAGGCTTTCGGTGGAAAACTCGAATCCTGAATTGGCTCAATAGCTGTAGTCCAGGTGCCTTAATGATTAGGATTGGCTTTCGGGGTAGATTGTACTATCCTCACATTCAGAGCTAAGAAGAGAAAAGTACTCCTAATCTTCTGACCTTGATACTACTTTAGGGACCTTTGTCTTTAGAATACGGTGTTGGGGCACATTATACTATACTCATCACAACGAACCCCCCAAATAGTATAGGTATTTAGTTTAGGGTTTAGGGTTTAGGGATTTAAGCCCCGAAAAATTACTTGGTTCGGGATCTTGCAGGAGTCAGTCGTCTCCAAGGTGTGCAGCTGCCTAGGTAGTAGCCCTGCCCTCTCCCAACTTGCAACGGAAGCTGAGGAGAGTAATCCCTAAACTCTATAAAGCCCGAAGTTCCTAAATAAATCCCTAAATCCCTGAAGTCCCCTTAAAGTATAGTAGGATCCCCAATATGATTGAGGGTATACTCCTTAATTAAGGGATATTGGAGTCTCTGGGTTGAAAGTGCCGGCCCAGCGACCATTTCCGCATGGCATAACAGAGGTCTTTGCGCCGAGGCCACGGCCCGTCTCCGCAGCTTAGAGCTCTGCGGATTGAAAAGTTGAGGGGTGGAGGGCTGAGGGGTTGAGGGTTTGGGCATGTTTTCGATGAATCTGTTTTCTAAAACTCCTTTCCGAGAGGTTGAACCCTAGACCGTGAATCCTAACCCTCAACCCTGCGTCCTAAACCCTAAATCCTACACCCCAAACCCGAAACCCTAAACCCTACACTCGGAACCTTAAACCCTAAACCCGACACCCTGAATCCCTACTCCCGAACCCCTACTTAAAGGATCATGGGACTTAGTAACTAGGGTTATGATTAATTAGGGTAACTATACTTATAACTACTTATAACCCCAATTAAGGTACTTATAACCTTACTTACTAAGTCCCATGATCCTCCAAGTAGGGTGTGTTGGGGGCTGAAAGGCTCGGAGGGCTTTGGCTCAGAGGTGAGACGAAAAAGCAGCGGGCACCTCAGTCTTGTGAGGCTCCTTTAAGGGCTCCTTTAAAAGCGCTCCTACCCTAAACCCTAGACCACTAAATTGAAGGTCCTTTAAAAGGGACCTTGTCATAGAACCCCAAAAATACCCTTAAAGAAGACCCTGTTTTCGAACCCTATAGCAACTGTAAGGCTCCTACCCTAAAAACCCAAAACCCCGCTAGCATAATGCCTTAAGGGAGCTCTCAAAGGGACCCTCAAGGGAACCCTTGAAAAGGAGCCCCCCAATGCTGTCGGGTTCCTTTAAGGATTCGCTCCAAGGTTCTACAAGGGCCTCAAAAGAAGGCTAAGGTTTGGGGTTTAGGGTTTGAGTGTGTAAGAGCAAGGGATGAGGGAACAGAATCTAAAAACCCTAAACCCGAAACCCTAAACCCCCAAAAAACCTAAACCCTAAAAACCCTAAACCCTAAAACCTGAACCTGGGTTTTGAATTTCAATTTAATTTCAACTTAGGGTTCGGTGCTTGGGTCCTGAGGCTTTTGGCTCTGGAGTTTCGGATCTAGAGAACTGCAACCTCTCAAAGGGGAAAAGTAGGGACCCTTAATGGGGACCCCTACCCTATAATGGGCTATATAATGAGTATATACTAGCTATATTAAGGGTATATACCTAGGGGTCCTTATTAAGGGTCTCTCCTTTTACCCATGGAACCTCTAAACCCCTAAACTTACCTTTGGTTAGTAGGGCATGAAGGAATGGGGTACAATTATTACTACTATTACTACCATTCTTCCATTCCCTACTAACCAAAGGTAAGTAAACCCCTAAACCGCCCCAAACCCTAGACCCTAAACTGGACTCTTGTTCCGGAGTCTACTCTAAGCTACCATACTAGGGATCCAAAGCAAGCAAGCTGGTTTTCCTTATTATGGCAACTTAAATTACTTCCAGTAAAGCCTTGGGTGTTCGGACACTTGGAGGCTTCAGTCTCATGACTCGTTCTGCGTCGCGTCAAAATTCCTACACTGTCCCTACACCCTACATCCTAAACCACGGCTTAGGGTTTAGGGTGTAGGGACCCTATATCCTCAACCTTAAGAAAACCAGGGGACATTGTAAGAACCTCGAAGTGAGGCAGAACGAGTCATGAGGTCGTAAACCCAAAACCCGAAAAGCCCTGGAAACTCGAAGCCCGGGGTTTGGGGTTTGGGGTAAATCCACAGGCCCGCTTGACATCAAAACCCAAGTCCTTTAAACAGCACCGATTTTTGCGTTTGGATCTTTTTGAAAACCGAGGACATCTTCTTTTTGAAAACCAAGGATGGCTTTTAGCACTTAAAAAACCCTATGTTTACCAAAAAAACCCTGTTTTCCCCCAACCCAAAACCTCAAAGCCCTTCCCCTGAGCACCCGGCTCGCTACCAGCGGCTCGCGCCCCTGCGCTCAAGAAGATCTGCTGGTTTTTTCTACCCACCACTGGGCTTAGCGGGATCCTCGAGGCTTTAGGGCCTACCGTAACCCTGCAGAACCTACCTTTTTGGGGTTCCTTAGTATGATTTCCTTAGAAAAGTCCTAAAGAAGGTGGGATCTTCTAGGATTCTAGGACGTTTTTAGGGCTCCTTACGATGACTTCCTTATATAAGTCCTTAAACAGGTAGGATCTAGGCTTTAGGGTTTAGGGCTTGGCGTTTTCACGAGGTGTGTTTATATCTACCTGTTTATCCATGTATCTACACAAAGCGCTACAGAGCTCACCTGAAGTTATCCTCCGGTTTAGGGTTTAGGGGCCAGCTACTCCTAAACCCATGCCGACCCCCACAAACACTCCGCAAAGGAACCCCGAGAAAAGTCCGCAAGCCTACTCTCTCACCCAGAAACCCTTCTGAGCCCCCCTTAAAGCGACCCTCCCTCTCGAAAACAGGAAACAATAGCAATAATTAAAGTCAAAACAAGGACGACAATAAGGACAAACCTCAAACCCCTTAACCCAAAACGCTAAAACCGTACAGATCCCTCAAAAGAATCCTTAAACCCCCACGGCCTCAAATCCCTAAACCCTTTAAGGAACCCTCGTGAAGCCCTGATAAATGCCTCAAAGGAGCCCCCCATGAAATTTTAAAGGCCCAGAACCCAAAAGCCGAACATCCCGAATAGATCCCTTGATAGAGCCCTTTCAGGAACCCTAATGAGACCTTTAAGGGTTCCATAAGATCCCTTTAGAGGAACCGCCGAAACCCTAAACACCCCAATCCCCAAACCCTAAGCCCTAAAACCCTGAAACCCTAAAACCTTAAACCCTGAAACCCTCTAAATCCCAACAGCCCGAAAACCCTAAATCCCGAAAAACCTAAACCCCTGAAACCCAAGACCCTAAACCCTAAACCCTGAAACCCAAAGCCCTGTAACATTTAAGTCTATAAGAATCACTTTAGAGGAAATAAACCCTGAAACTCTAAATCCCGAAAGCCCTAACCCTAAAGCCTGCAAGCTTTACGGCTAAATGGGATCCCTAAAGGAACCCCAAAAAAATCCCTAAGAAACCCCAAAGGGGCGCCTCCCGCGCGCCCTTTTCGGCGGCTCGGGTTCGGCAGCGACTGGCGGGAGGCTTTTTTCTTTCAGGGGATTCCTAATTGGGGAATACCCAGGTAGGTGGGTTTAGGGTTTAGGGGATTCTAATATCCCTTAATTAAAGAAACTTCCTTAACTCATTTTCAGGACCCTACTACAATTGCAAGCCCTTGGAGGAACCCTTTGAGGAACCCTTATGTCTGAATTAAGGCGTTTTGGGGGCTCTGGGTTTCGTGCGGGCGAAAGCAAGGGCCCAGAGGCTCCGCATAGCCAAAAACCCAGAGCCTCCAGAAGCCGTTAATTAAGGAATACCTCGGCTTCCTTTTTTTAGGGATCTCTAAGGGATCTATTGGGTTTAAGGTTTAAGAGCCTCCAAAACCCATTAATTAATGCAAATACTTTAATTATAGTAGGATCCCCAATATCAGGAATCTTCCTTAACTGGGGGATTTTGGAAGATCTGGGTAGGAGGGGCTTGGGGGAGTTAGGGTTCAGGGTTTAGGCTTTAGGGTTTGGGGGTTGAGAATTTGGGGCTCAAGGGTTTCAGGGTTTAAGGGTTTAAGGTTTTAAGGGTTTACGGTTTGGGGATTAAGGTTTAGTATACCAAAAACTATCCGCCGGCGATCAATCCGTACACTTGGCTTTCATGCTGAAGCTGTGTCTCTAACATGCGGCGCACCTCCCGCTAGTCCTCGCTAGCGCAGCAGACACTGGGCTTGCACGCTCACTCTCTTTGTTTTGGACGGGCATTGGCTTGCATTAGCTGGTATATGGTACGCCGCAGGGCGTCTTACGTCCACAGGGTCTCGGAGGGAAGCTTCTCCATCGAGACCACTGTGCTGCGCCACCACTTCCACCCAACTTTGAGGGGGTGTGGCCAGAGGAAGTCCCTGGTGAGCCCCAGCTCGAAGTTCAAGGGGCGCCCTCCAGGAACCTCCATCTGCTGCCGGAGCTGCCGCTGCCGAAGGTTCACATCCGGATCGTCCTCGTACTCTTCGGACAGCCACTCTGCAGTCCTGGGCCAGGCTCTCCGTCTTGCCTTCTCTCGTCCGTGCGCTTTCTTATTGTTGCTGAGTCTGGAGCTGGCGGTTCGGCAGCAGACTGAAGTGGTCTGTCTTGGTGTGTCCGGAGGACCCGCCCCGACTCCATGTATCGAGGCGGGCCTCCTGCCTCCCA